ACCTCCTTCATCGACAAACATTTAAAGAGGGAGAAAAAATTCTCCTCAGAATCTGTATGCATCAAAGAAATAAGTAATTGGAAGTCTGAAATTCAAGGGAGATACAGTTACTGAGTTTCTTCAAAAGCGTATATCGGGGGCAGTTCGAGAAATATGCTTTGCTAAACCCCTACTCCACCTTTCCGCAATGATTATTATTATATTATGCTCTTTCTCAAAGACAAAATCCGTCTCTTTGTCACTTCAGTGTGTATTTACCAGTTCACTTATTCTTGTTGAGTTAAGGAGACATGCAGTACCGGTAGGAAATTGTCTAGGAGCTATACCTATAGGCATGGATGTCGAAAAAAGAACACACATCAGTCACAAGTACGATTCTAGAGCACATTGTTACTTCATCTCACGAAGCACCAGGAGAGACCTTAGTCAGATACATTTATAGAGGAAGATCAAGCTGTTCTAAGGATGTCGCCTACATCTTCTTTATGTAGCCGAACCTCTTACAATTCACAAAACTGCAACTTTGTGTTGAGAAACGTTTTATCCAGCCTCTATTTTCTATCATGGCCTCAGTGTCATTTTTATTTTCTTCCGCAGTAAACTCTGTGTGATATTTTATTCATTTTTTTCGCAGCCCATTTTTAATTCTTTCTTCTTTTGTTTAAAACTATCAGTTATTTCCGAAGAATTGTTCATCACTTGATGAGTTGTTTGTTAGTTCTCTTGATCACCAAGTAGTGGTCTGTAGGGATTTGATTGATTGATTACAGGATTTCATCAAGAGCTGACATCGGCTAGAGAAGCATTGGTAAACCTGGGAATACTGGATAGCTGTTTCGTCCTAGTTTGGGACTCTTCAGTAGTACGCACCCAACAAAACTGTTCAAACCCAGGACCCTCTTGTTACAGGTGACCAGTAGGGTGCAGCAAGTCGGGTGTGAGGACAAATACTCGCCGAAGACATTGGTTAGGGTTCGCGCTATGTCGTGAATTGGCAGAAGTTAGAATTCATGGCCACAGGAACTGGTCCTAGTAGCTGAATGGTCTACGAGCTCGCCTTGTAGCCAGAAGGTCCTGGGTTCGAACACTGGCGTTGCGTGCTTACTGATGAAGAGCCCAAAACTGGGACGAAACAGCTGTCCGGCAGCCCGGGTTTTCCAATGATTCTGTAATCGATGTCAGCTCATGATAAAATTCTGTAACCAATCTCTTGATTACGTTGGATAATTCATTCGTAATTTCTCATACACTCTGAATTATTTTGTTACTAACTAAAAGTAATCTCTTGCCTTCTTTGTCAGTTAACATTGTATCTGTGCTCCCTTAAATAACTGTACAACTTGGGAGTTAATTAGCCAACTTACATAAAATACTGTAAATGGATAAACTCTTAAAAATGCATAAGTTTTGGTTCTCCATGATTTATCAGTGCACAAACATGACATTTTGTCAGATGCAGCTAAGAATACAAATAGAACTCTGAAGTGTGACTTGGATCTCATCAGTTAAAGTCTACGACTACTTATTCTTCACATAATGCAACATGTACTCCTGTATTCATCTGTAAGAATTAATGAGCTATTAGCATATTTTGAGTCGGACTATACTTAGGATAAGACATTAACACAGCCAAGAAGACTAATTCTGTTAAGCAACTGACATAACAGATTTTGAAGAACTTCTAAGTTAATGATACTTTTTTTCAGTCCATTAAATAAACAGAGGAAAATAGTCGGCTTCATATTTGATTTATTTCTTATTATGTAAAGTTTCTTCATACATTTATTTCCCTTGATGAATTTGAATAAAGCAAGAACAACAGTGTGATTTGTGCAGAATAATGTGGTGCCATCATATATTTCGTCGGCTCCTCATCAGCCGCTTACAGCTTGCAAATTTCACACTATGTCAGTTGACAGGAGGTTCCGGAATCGGTGAACAGTGCTCGGAAAATTACGCTCATATAGTTTTTACACACGCAGTTCAAGTTTAAACAAAGGAAATGCATGCATACAGTGGTGGAGGAGTTACGTAACAAAAACGAGAGGTGCTTAAGATGATGAGTGACTAGCAAATTAGGTAACAATATAATGAGTTCAACTCAAATCATAAAAACAAGAGACAAGGAAAATTACACTTTATCAAAGGCGTCCCTTTTTTAAGGTAAAGATTACGTAATCAAGTGAAAGAGCGAATAAAGACATCTAGTCACCAGGGCAAGTAAACACTGACAACTGCTTCTTTCTGAACACATGAATCGGGTTTCAAGAGGTTGATAGAAATTGCTTCGGCAAACTTGAGGAGAATGGAGCTCCTTTGTCTATTGATAATTTTAAAGGATTTCACGATTTCCACCTCATGAACCATATCAAGAAGATGCCTGGCACTAGTACTATTATTAATTTAATTTAATTAATTAAATACTATTTCAAGAAAAACTTTATTCGTTCTTTTCGTCATTTTACTGTGAATTTCTCTTTTTTTATTCCTTTACATTTCCAGTGGAACATAGGGTCTCAGGCTAGAGCTTTGAAGTTCCTGTAGCAATTATATTATACGGGATGGGGTTACTCTTTACCGGATCTACTACCGGCTAGGCGAGGTAAAGCAGTGCATCAGCCGAGGATCGAACCCCTGACCTTATACGTGGTTTGCGAGCATCCTACCGATCCACCACCGACGCACGCGAATTTTTTACCTTTGTTTATAACATCATTCAATGGCGTCCTAAATAATTTACTGAAACCCACTTATAAATGCCCACTGTTTTTCTGATACATAATCAGATTTATTGGGCAGTATAAATTTGAACTTATCTGATTTCGGAATAACTTTGATTGCGCCGCTACTGGAACATTTCACACACTTAATTTACTGCATTATTATGAGTTTTCCATCGCAAATACAAACTACTTTCTCAATTCTTTTGAAGTTATCTAATCATTTATTGCTATCTTATGAATGGGATCTTCATATTTTGGTCAATCCTATTAAGATGGAGGTAATTTTAACCGCTTTTCTTGTAGACATTAAGCGAGTTTTCAAATATAAACAGCATAGATTACTTCACCCATTTCTGTAACATCTCAGTGCCTATATAATTAGTTTTAAATAATTTCCTTCATTTTCTAAGATCTTGATACATATGGAAAACAGACAAACTGGCCTCAATTAGTTTCCATTAGTAGTAGTTTTTGTTGTTGAAGTTTCTCATTGGTTCATATATTATTTGCTGGATATTCACATCTACTGTGTATATTTTATTCTTTGACTGAAATGCTCCCCCGTTATTATTTATTAAGGACGGGTTGAGGATATTATGAAAGTCTAATATAAAATCTGTCTGTCTGTTTTCGACATAGAACTTTGCACATACGTGCGGTAGTTCAAGTCGCCACACTCCATGTAGCACACAAAGCAAGAGAAGAAAGTAGGAGAAATGCATATTAGAGACAGTAAACAGAAGAATAGTAATAACGAAGAACAAAACAGTTTCATTGGAAATCATAAGTCACAAGGAGTGGATGCATCTGCACCAGCCACTGAGAACGATTTTGAGCCATGTCACCGATTGTTTCCAACCATTGGTTTTTACCGTCCCGAGGACTCCAACTAGGAAGTCTACACCTTCCTACGTGGCTCAAGCTAACTGTTGTAGATTTCATTGACTGGTGCCATGTTTTGGTTTGACCACCGCTAGCTCTTTACCAGCCCGACCCTATGTCAGCTAACATTGCCCGTCAGTCGAGGAAGGTGATGACTAGGCATACGTAACACATGTCCTAACCATCTCAGTCGATGTAATTTCACAGCCTCGTCGATTGATTTCTCCTCCTTCCCTAGCACTCGACGCCTTACCTCAGTATTGCTCACCTTATTATACCACTTCACATGGGAGGTAGAACGCAGACACCTATGATCAAAGACAGCTAATCTTTTCATGTCTTCCACTCTCAATGGCCAGGTCTCACACCCATAAAGGAGGACGGAGCAGACTGCTGAGCAGTACACCCGCCCTTTGGTCGATAGTCAGCCGGATATCACGTCTACACCAGAGACGGCGTAAACTGGCATATGCGAAACTAGCCCTCTGTATCCGTGCTGAGATTTCGTCGGAGATCAACCCGTTGGGGCTGATGGTACTTCTCAAGTAAATGAAGCGGTCAACGTGCTCTACCACTTCACTTCCTATTTCTAATATAGGAGTCAGTGTAGTCCAATCCTGTAACATCATCTAGCATTTGGCGGGAGCGAATCGCATGCCAAACATTCGTAGATTGCAGCTCAGGGTGTTCAGAAGACTCTGCATTTTGCCAGCGTCCTCGCCCAGAAGGACTATATCGTCTGCATATTTAAAGTCAACGAGATTATTCCCTTGTAGCAAGTGAATCCCTGAGTCACTGAAGTGAGTTAGAGCTAAGTCAATTAGTACATCTACGATGAAGTTGAATAGAAATGGGGATAATGGGCATCCTTGATAGACGCCACTAGTATAATATAGAATAATAATATAAATATACATAATATATATATTATATATATGATATAATAATATAAAATACTTGCCGATTAAACTGGCTAGTGGTCGCCCCACATCCTGAATTGACAGAAGTTGAAATTCATGGACAAATGGATCGGGTCCCAGTTACCTAAGGGTGTACGATCTCGCCTTGCACCTGGGAGGCCTTGGATTCGAACTCCAGTGGATGCGCACCGATGAAGAGTTCGAGACTAGGGCGAAACTTGAGTTGTTAACAAAAGCTACCAGCTGAAATGTTTTCTGCACCAGGAGTTACTGCCATTAATATATGTTGTGCGATATATCTTTGTTTCTTCTCCTCAGCCTAACTGAATTGTTTCATTGGTTTTCCTGTTTTGTTGTGTTACTTTTTTTGCAGAAAAGTGCATCGTCGAAATAAGTGCACAAAGCTGTCAAATCTTTCCTGTTTCATCAGTTGATATTTAAAAGAAAGATTCAGTAAAATTTAAAACAAATAAACATGAGAATTAGAGAAAGACTGCCGGCTGATACATTCAAACCAAATTATAATTCAAAAACAATCAGCTTTACTAATTCTCAGTGGTTACAGCAATTACTGTCAATAGCGGTACGTTTAAACAACGCCACAACTAGTCATGAATATTCATCATTATCCACACCAAATGGCACTACCACTAATAGTATAGATAATAATAATAATGATAATAATACCAAAATTAATTTGAATGCATCCACCACGACAACAACGACGTCAAGCATTGGAACAACTGGTTGTATAATCTTACAGTTATATGATAAGAATCCTGATTTTCTTTACAATCAAGAAGAATATCAGGATATCGACTATTCTGTATTAAAAATGCAGATTATTATATGGACACAGAAATACCTAAAACCGGATGATCTATTCATGGATTGGTTTGAAACAGTCAATCGGCACATCCATCATAATAGTAATACGTATCATCAAAATAATTATGACAGTAATAACAATAACAATATGAATAATGAACACAATGAATTATCTGTGACAAATATTACATTCTGTACAGAGAATTTAAGAAGTTTAATGATTGAAGGTGATAAGCAAATGTTAGAAAAGTATAATGGATATACTTTAAATGGGGATATATATGGAATGAAAAATGAGACAAAAATAGGTAAGTTGTGGAAAGGTTATCTTGAATTTGTTTTTTTCTTCTGATTATACTTGTACTAATTAACTTCTAGTGCGTCGGCGTCATAGCCTGTCGCCCATGCACATGGTCCGGGGTTCGATACCCGGCCACCGACGCACTCCTTTACCTCGCTTAACCAGAAATAATGCTGGTAAAGAGGAAAGGTTGGGCAAGAGGCTAGCAACCCCATCCTGTAAAATAAACACTGCTACAGAAACTTCAAGCCTCTAGCTTGACGCCCTATGTTCCACTGGGAACGTGAAGGAAAACAAAAAATTAATTTCTAGCTGTCATTACTAAATTCCATTATTAGCAAGTGAAACACTTAAAGAAGTAGTCCCATTTTTGTCGCATAAAACCACTAAAATACACGTGTTAGCACGAACTCGTCCTTCAGATGTCTTGTTAGCATTCAAATTAAGCGAACTTGATTAGCTGTAGCCTTACTCTTCCTCGAAAAAGTGGAACCAGTACTGTGCAGAATTTCTGTTCGAGGCGTTTATACTGAATCACTCACTCAGCACGACAAATCAGTTTGCACTGTGATATGTCTCGCATTATTTCTTGAACTAATTCGTCTGAATGTTGGTTCTTCCTGGTAGAAATTATTGTGCTTAAATGGATTCATATCAGAAATCTGAAGTTAACTGAAAGTGTATAAGAGTGACCAGTTTACACCTAAAAATGTAGCAGTACTTAGCGATACACTAGAGTGAATTGTACACATTCATCCTAGCCTCTTGCAAGACCAAAACTGTGTGCAGTATCCTCCGGTGGTACAACCACTCAGGTGTCCTCCATCCCGCCCCAGTGGGGTGGAAACGGAAGTGACTTAAATAACTCATTCAAAGTATTCTTAGTCGAATAGAGTGGATTCAAGAACATCACATCCAGAGAAGAGACTCTTTTCAATGAATTGATTATCAAGTCATCCATTCGCATATATATGGTTTTTTTTAGAAATTGTATCCCATCGGGAAATCTAAACAAAGATGTGAATACTTAAAATAATAATAATAGTAGTATAAGATGCAGTTAAAATGTTCGTGATTAAAATCATAGTTCAATATCAAGTGCCAAGCGGAAAAATAAATAATGTTGTATGTAGAATAGTTCACAGGATGTGTAGATGGTGATACAAAATTATAGGATAAGTAGGCAAATAAGAGACGTTACATAACATGGTGGGAAATTCGGTAAGGTAGAATTCAACATTGCAACAAAACATCTTCACTTACAATTACAAGTTGGACAAGTGAAGTAATACCGGAATCAGTTCAGAGTGAGAATAGTAGTAGCAACAATAATAACAATCGTAGTAATGAAGGAAGGAAAGGTACGCAGATTAACTAAATAAGCAGAATAAGGATAAATATATGTTTATCTTTCTACGGCCAAGACAGAAATATGGGTTGCACATACTTCTTTTTAACACAAATGTCTGGCTTGAATTCATGAAAGACGAAGGCTTTCAGAAGTCTAGAACGAAGAAAGTGCGGCTAGTTAGCATAAATTCGAAATATGATCTTAAAATCATGGTTAGCGTTGGTAGACTGACATAAGTCGATCAAGTGTTCCAGAACAGAGTTTCTCACACCTTTTTTTCCCCTCGTAAAATCATTCTGGGATAGGTTAGCATATCTGTGTGAAAAGCGTTCTCTGGATACGGCCAATGTATCTTGCTCTGCAAGAAAAAAGTTGTCAAACTATATTAATACTGATAATCTCGAACTTGATTTGAGATAAAAAGAAAAGTGAAAAGTTTGACGTCTCACTTCTCTTTCCTCTTGATTTGAATCTCTTCAGACGATGATACTGGCAACTCTAAAAATAACTGAATCAATAAACCATAAGTACCATCCAGTGTTACTGACGGCTAATTGTGTACATTTTATGGAGGATGAGGAAAAAACTTTGTGAATCAACCAATGTGAATAAACTTCACTGTTCACTTTCTTCTTTCTAACATTCAGTTTTCGATATGTTTTTTCAAGCAGAATTTGTCGTTTCTGTTTATCTTTATTCATCTGCAAAGTTTCCCACCATTGATGATTTATTGAAGTTCTTAACATGATATTTATTTGTCTTAGATATGAAGGCGACCATTCTTTAACTATTCCAATAGACTGAAAGCTTTATTTTCTCTGTCAAAAGCTTTTACTAAAAACACACGAGTACCACATATGCAATAACAAGCAGTCATAAGTATTCGACATGGGAAGTTTGGTTATTAAATGCCTAGAATAGATCAAATAACAACGGATAAATAACACTATGAAATAATACAGATTTATAGCTCAGAATGAGGAATAACACTATGCTTGTCAAGTAATATGTGTTCCAATCTTTTTTTCCTTCACTTTTCCCATTGGAACATAGGGCGTCAAGCTAGTAGTTTGAAGTTTCTGTAGCATTGTTTAACTTTTACAGGATTGGGTTGCGAGCCTCATGCCCAACCTTTCCTCTTTACCAGCATTATCTCTGGCTCAACGAGGTAAAGGAGTGCATCCATTGGCCGGGAATCGAACCCCGGACCATGTGCATGGTCGGCGAGCTATACCGCTATACCACCGACGCACTTGTGTTCCAATCTTATTTGTTTCTTAAATCTAGTCTCATCAGCTCAATCGTTTTCTACAACTTTGCTGTAATATGCATAACATTTTTAGTACAATACAAAACACTTATCAATCTAGTGGTGACAAGTTGGTTAACAATAGTGATGATGCGGTGATAATTAGCCAAGAAAGAGTAAATATAATTGCAAAACTCAAACAATTGGATTACATAATGCATAATTTTAGGAAAAATAAGGAGCAACTGAGAATCAGATGAGTGTCCGAATCGACTACGTAATAAGCAGTTAAAGTTGAAGTAGTCGGAATAATAACATAATAATTAGGACAATTATAACTTGAAAAAAGGCTTAGAGTGAAGGAGGAAATTGTCAGTTTTTTACATTAATGTAATAATAGCCAAGGTAAGGAAAGAAGTTGTATGAATTTCTTCTAAACACAAAAGTCTGCATTCTTCAGGTGGATTCCGATGACTTCAGCTGTATGTAGAAGACGAACTCGTCAAGCAAAATTATTATTTGACGGGAAACGATAAATGACTTCGAATTCTGTATTAACATGAACTGTATGCCCATTGTCAATAAGGTGTGCCAAAATGGAGCCACCAATAAATCTTGTTTGTCGCTTTCTTAACCGCGCAGGATAATAATGTAAGTATAAAACTTGGGCACTGTGGTAGTAAGTAATTCCATATTAGTTTGTTTATTAGATATATCACACAGTGAAACTGTATTATTTACTGGATGACGTTTCGAACACAGTTAATTGTTCATAATCATATCAATGATAATCGCACAATTTCGAAACTTGAGTTTTATAGTTTTCTTTGTTCTCCCCTATTTGTCGTCGTTGAGGTAGTGGAATTTTCCAGATATCCGAGACAGGTGTTGAATCATTCTTATTGCACATGTTTGCAGTTGATTCGATATACAGAGCTACCGTTACCAATCTCTTTCTCCATCCTGTTGCATTAGATTTTAAAACTGTCATCTGATCCCACCTTATTGTATGGTTGTGTGTAATTGCATGTAGTGAGTGCTACAGCTGAACTATTCTGCAGATTTTTTATCTTATTCGGGTCAACTAACCTAGATTTTGTAAAATCTAGATTACTACATGCAATTACACACAACTACACAATAGGATAGGATAAGATGACAGTTTTAAAATCTAATGTAACAGGATGGAGGGAGAGATTGGTAACGGTAGCTCTGTTTGTCGAATCAACTGCAAACACGTGCAATAGGAATGATTCAACACCTGTCCCAGATATCTGGAAAATTCTACGGTGACATTATAATGTTTACGACAATTTCAAATGAGCTAATTACGTGAAATTTGTAATGAATTCAAAAGAAAACGAATAGTTCTGTGGTAGATTATGTCTTATATCCGGGTGTTACCACCGCACCTAAATGGGACAGTTTATCTGACGTCTAAAGATTGATGTGCTGTAAACTACTTTCAGTGAGAACAGAAATAATATTTTTTTTTGCTGCAAAACCTAAACCTAGTGCCACTTTTATTTAATGTTTTTAATTTCGATTAATTTCCCTGAAGAAGTTCGGATCAGGTTGCCGAACAAAAAGTTGGAATTATTCAATTTCAATTTCGCTGAGCTTTTACAAGTATAATTTTCGCATATATGTCTACTTCTCACTAGGCGCCCAATTATTTTGGAACTATTCGGTCAAATCTTGATCACAGTTCACATGAATTTGTTTAATGTTTTGTTTCCTAGAAAACTATGGTGTTAGTGAAGTACAAATTCTCATTGTGATTACACTTTCCTGTGTACTGATTGTTTGCTTCTTCATGGCCGTTATTTTACGTATTCGGTAAGTGGTAGAGTAAAAATATGTAATTAAAAATAAATGGTATATTTATTATTTTGACTAAGATTTAATCATTTCAAATTATCAGCCTTATGGTGCTCATGACGAAGTTATTAAAATGATACGTTTAAACACTCGGTTTTTACCAATAAATCGGAGATTTGAAACCCATTCAACTTACTCCATTCAGCCTAAGTATCTGAAAGATAATAAAAGTCACTCAGTATCAAATGTGGTTTGTAGTCTAGTAACTGAGACTTTTTAATCAGGGAACAATTTGAATGGCTATTGTTAGCATCAATGTTTTGAAATTAACTAATCGAGGATGCGTGTTCAACCGATGATCTCAGTATTCTTGTAATGATGTTTAGTGGTGTCCCTATCTAATTTAGCTGTGTCTGTATCCCCTCCTAATCCCAGTGTTTTCAATGAGATAGAATTTCGTATTTCATTATCTCAAACAGTAATGCTTTTTCTAGTTCGGTTATCCCCAATTTATAAAAAACCTTATAGCTGATCAGAAAATGTAATCAAGGCCAAAGTTGTACTTCTTTCAGATTAACGAAGAATTAAAATATGATCATATCGCGAACTTGGGAAGTAAGAATTCATGGCTCATTCAGTTCTGTCCCAGTAGCTAAATGGTAACTTAGTAATCTCGTTAGTTGATGGTCCTACGTTTGATACCAGGTGGAGTGACGGTTGTTCACTGGGGAAGAGTCTTGAAATATGGTGAAACTGTTTCCAGCGGTTCTGCAACTAATCTCTTACCATGATAAAGTGTAACCCCAAAATCTGTCAAACACCAACGGAGCGATTTTTTGTAAACTATAACTATCTGACCAAATAATGTTAGTGAAAATACCATTCTCAGTCTGGCTATCAATCAGGGACTGGATTTAACACTCTTCATTGGACTACACATCCTATGAGATATCAGACAGTCATTTTTTCTCCTCCCAGCTGAAGAAAACTAAGTGTCCCACTATCACACTTATATACTTTCCGGACTAATATCTCCTGAATCATTGAACGATCAATAAATATGGTTTAAGAAGGCCTATTTCGAGATGACATCGTTTCACAGTTTCTTTACTTTTGCTTTACAAGTAGCTTGGTTAAAAATAATAAAATAAAGAGATTGACAACTAATCAGTTATCTAAAATAAAAGTGCTTACTAAACACCAATCATATTCTACTAAGTTAAGTGGTCCATGGTAGGCAAATGTTGAAGTCCAACGCTTTCTCTACATAATTTGGAATGCACCTGATTAATCCAAAGTGCTTCCATCACTTTTAATAAAATTCATTTGGAGTTGTGTGAAATAACTGAGAAGTAGTCATTAAAATATTGATTTGTCACCTGACATTAATAAGTGATGATGGATTTCTACTCGGATTAAGTATATTCAGATTTTCTATGTGAATGTGTTCGTTCCTGCTACATTGGAACATTCTGTTAATTTTGCCAATATGTGTCGTCAAAACTGCAGATGAACTTGTAGATACACTGCGCAATAAGGTCCACAGAATTTCATAATTTACAGGAGGTGAAAGTGTTTGAGATTTTTAAAAAAATGGAGTTGGCGTAGAGAGTGCGCTTAGTGGCTGACCAAAGCCTTTGGACTGTTGATCGCTTGACTTGATCATCCTTGAATGGTGATTTAATAATGATAGCTTTCTGTATTACGGAAGATGTATTTTCAAGCAGAAATCTCCCTTCACTACAACGTCCTATAAAGTTTTCAAGATATCGATTAGCCGACAAAACTGAATGCATGAGCTGCAGCTCATCCAATTGTCAATCGTTTATTGCGTTTTTTCCTACATGTTCGAAAAAATTGTTTGCGTCAAAAATGTAATGACAGTACACTTCTGTATATTGTAAAATATAGTGTGGCTTTATGATTATCCGCTACATTTTACTTATTTGTAGAAGCTTTTGTAGACGTCAGTCAGAATCAAGAAAACAAACACGTAATGATCGTGATTCTGCATTACAAGTGAATTTTGCTTATGATGTGAATGAAACACAGATAGCTGAGAAATCACCGATACCAAGTACAACATTTGGCAGTAATGCATATCCACGACCAATGAACAGAAAGGCTGGTGTATGCAGATATAATCGTATACCGCCAGTATATAGTAATTCAAATCAAAAGTTTTGTAAAAAATTAAACAGTCATATGTATAGAACACCAACTGTCTTCATGATTGAAAATCAAGCTGGTGACAGGCATAATAATAAGCTTCATGAAGATTATTCAACGTTGAATCAAGTAAGTTAAATACTCTACGGGTTTCTTTTAAATAATTCTTAGTATTTGGCATCTTGTAGGGTACGTTGCCATTCAAAGTTAAATATTTTACTGAAAAAATTCTGCTATAATTTGTATAGTTTAAACATCAGCCTAAGCTAAACTCATTGCGAATATAAGCGACAGTCATAGTGAATCAAGAGGCGCACATTCATGTACCAGTTAATTCGTGGACACATCAGAACACAGACTATTCGTTCAACTAAAAGGTAAAATGAAAGAGGCATTATCTCCCGTAGAAAGTAAGCACATCCAACACCACTTAAGATTTCGTACAATCAATAAAATGAAGGCAAGGAAGGGCTGATGTTATCTAGCCAATTACTGAAAATGAAATAATACTGAAAACGTTTTCTGTCTTAGGTCAATAATCCTTGAAGGGAATTAGTAGTTTATATCTTAATCCTGCATGAATTTCGAGTCTTTTCGTTTCCTAGCAACTGTGAAACAAAAGCATAATACCAGTCTATTGCTTTTATAGTACTTACGAGGCACTGATCTACGGTTAAATCGTCTTATCAGATTAATGTGGTAACAAACGGTCACTCAGATCTGTTCAGGAACACAACGATGTATCACACTGAATAATGCTAATGGAAGTGAGAACACTATTAGAATTCTATTTATATATGCTTTGCCTTCTGTCAGACCAGTGGCAACTAAGTGAATACTTCACAGCCACAGAACTTGGAGCATCCAGCTTATCATCCATGCACACAGCTGAAGAGCCCAGAAAAGCAGTGCAAAACAGGCTACTCAGTGCTTTTTGGTTCAGCCACTTCCTACAGCTGACACTGTTCTGTAACAAAGTGAATCTTAGAATCAGTCAGTTTCTCATAGACCGCATAAACTACAGTATTAACTCTAAACATAAAAATTAACTATACAATAAGATTACAAAGTAGAAATGCGTTCCTGTTCTACTCGTAGCCCAAAGGAACAGTAATGATAATACACAATAATTAACAATACGGTGGGAGTGAGGGTTAATAATTTAACACAGTAAAGGTTGTTATTGCAACTGAAGCAAGAACACTCATCTGCCCTGATTCTCATCTAAAGACAACCTCTAACTTATCTAGTTTTAAACTTTTACTTCAATTTTGTTCACTATTATTATGTAATTTCTCACTTTCTTTATAAAACACTTCTAAGTAACTGCATCAATTATGTCATACCCCTGTAATACTCAATAGCATACTGCTAAAATATTATGTGTTATATAAATCAGTTGAAGTTTAACAGTGATGAATGCAACAAAGTCAGTTATTTTGAGTAGCTCACCGTAATTGCTCCATTACTCTTGTTTTTTGTTTGTTTGTATATTATTATAGCTGAAAGAGATTAAACGTCGACATCTCCTCTATTCACGACAACCTGAAAATGTCATCTATCAACTCCCGCCAATAGTATCAACGTGTAGAAACTCAAATAAATTACTGAAAACTAATAATAACAACAATCATTGTGAAAAAAGTAAAAATATCCATTCAAACAAGTCAATCCATAGAACAAATAGTTTTTAAATATGAATGTTTCTTACTATATTACTTGTGTGTGTGTGTGGAATGGACTAATTTTTGTAAACTTTGTGTGTACTAAATAAACTTTTTTGCAGTACAGCATCACATTTCAAAGAACCAGGGAACTTATCAGTCTTTTAGTGGACTAGTTATCCTTCACACGATATGCATTTAGTACACATATATTCCTATAATATACACATGTATCTAGAGCTCTATTAGTTTGGTTAATCTACAAAAATAATTTTTCAAATGTATCATTTTCCGACGTATATATATATATATATTATAACCGAATTTTAAAAATTCATTTACTATGTATGCTGTATGAAAACCATTCTCTATGTATTTATCTAACAGAACTTATAATAAATAGAGTTTATTCAAAAGACTGTGTACATCACTACTGTTATTTATCCACAGTGCGTATTTTCTTTCGACCTGTATGCAAAATCACGCCGGCCGACAGCAAATGAAACAGTAATAACTGATAAAACGGTTACTGCTTAATGCACGAATGCATTATTTGTCTAAGAAATGAAGATCCTGAAGACTGAATCAGACTGACCCACTGCACAAGGTGACTATTTCGTGTTGCTGTCTTCTAGAACACCATGTGCTTTTACGGCTTCAAGAGAAGTTGCGAATGGAATCTTCTTTTAAGACCTATGTAACATGAAGGTGTTTGCTGATTTCAGTTTCTCTCTGGATATACCACTGATTTCAGCCTCTATTCAAAATCATTTATTCAAATGGTGACTCATGGTACCACAGAAACGAGGTAGGATGCACAATGAGGTTGCAAAACATACAGGCATGTAATTAACAAACTAATTTCTGAGCAAAAACGAAAGGACCACCAGTGTACTTTTATTAAGACATTTTGAGTGAATAACGTAAAAGTCATTTTCCAGAAGACATGCTATAAATGATATCTTGACACCAGAACAGAAACAAACATAAACTTTACAAAATTTAATGATATCGTTATAATTGCTACCCGACAGGAATATTTGAAAAACGTGAATCGCTTTTATGGAAGAAATATAGATATTGTGATAGAGATTCGCTTGAACAAGGA